CAGAAGTTTAGGTTCAGTACGGTTCCTGTCTACAATTGTGATCATCTAAGTTTACAAACTGCCTATACTGGAGTAATGCCGTATGTGAAAGATGGTTTACATTTCTTCAACAAACTTGCTCATTATCAAGTAGGAAATACTCCATTGGCATTAGTATGGAAGGATGAAAACTATAGTCAATACGTGATTGACACAAACAACAAGGGAGAAATTCTGGGAAAGCAACAGTTAGTTCTAGAGTTACTAGATGATGGGCGAGTGGTTACTTCAGATGATCCGGCAATAACATTTGGATGCTTGTATGGAAATTTTATCCAAAAAGAAGGACTTCGTGCTGGAAATATGTTACGATTTTCTGTGAATGACAGTGGATTCAGTTTTGTAGATGGAAGATTAGAGAAAGCTTAGTTACTCGAAGATAATATTCCAGTATATTGTTCGGCATTCACCCTTGAAGATCGAACACATTTTTGAATCTCTTGGCTTCTCGGATTGTGGAGAAGTTGGGGCTAATGATGAAGAAATGGTTGGTTGAAACTTTGAGGATCTTCCCAAAATATTTGTAAGTTGTAACATTCTTTAGAATAATATATGAAAAAATTTTTCTTATCTTTTTATTCCATTTTGTAATTTAGTGAAAAACGTGAAAATTTCTTAGCTTCTTGCAGATTATTCAATGGAATTTCAAAGCAATTCTTTATGTCATAATTCGAAACTTGGAATCTCTGATCGAACTTTTTTGCTTCAACTTTTAAAATCTTTGTCTTTGGCCATCTGAGTATAATTTTCTCTATTTCCATTTATCATGCATATTTTTCATGTGTTTGATGGTAGCAATAAGTCATGGGAAGAAAATCAAGAAAATGGATGATTGGTGTTTAATTTGACAAAAGGAAATGTTGAATTGGCTTTTCTTTCTGGGCTTGTTCGGGTTTATATGCTTTATGATTTTTTGTAATATTCCTAGTGTTGATTACTAGTTGGTGCTTTTCACCTTTGCAAGTGAAATTTTCACGAGACTTGGAATTTTTTTTTTTTAACCTTAAATAAGAGTATTTTGAGTTGAGCGCAACTTAAATTAATGAGAATGTTTGTCTGTAATGCGTTGGGGCATTGAATTAGGTTGATGTAGTAGTGATAAACACATTAAAATCACTGGTACCAAAAGATACGATAATGAAAAATTTTAGATTGTTTGGACATGTGGATGTGATGAGATTTTAGGTAATAAGGAGGCAAATTTTAGTAAGAATTGAAGGGAACTATTACAAATTATGTGACTTCTTCGAAGTTAGTTATTAAATGAAACTATGGAGGCATGACCACAGTTCAAAACCGCCAATTCTGGTTCATGAACCGCCAGTTTTGGTTCATGAATCGCCGGTTCACGATTCATGAAGTGGATGAACCTTAACCGTTCCTTAACTCTACGGTACGGTTACGGTTCGTAAACCTCCGGTTAAGGCCCCGTTTCGGGCTAGTTCCGGTTCTGGAAACTCCAGTTTGTTGAAAGTGTAAATCCGATTCTTTTATGATTTTAACCCAATTTTTATACAATTCTTTTGTGTTGTGATTTTTTATTTTAAAAAAAATGAAAATTTCGTGTTTTGTTTTTAAAACAACTTATTTAAATCCTCAAAATATGTCCATAATGATGTATGATGGTTAGTCAAGCAAAAAATATTAGTAAAAATTCTCTTAACTAAATTAGGACAACTTCACAGGTATTTTCTTGATTTTATTAAATAATAAAAATAATTATATTAGGCAATGTTTGAAATTTATTTAAAAAGATGAAGTATCATTACAATTTTTTTCTAACATCTAATGACAATACAGACACAACAAAACATAAATATTAACAAAAAAAAATTAAAAATTATATACTTTCAGCACCACAAGAATTACGGGCTAATCGTTAACAAATGGAAAAAATTCTATTTCACTCCTCATTAATTAGGTCAACTACTTAATTTTAAGTATTGAGACTCTATAATACTAGAATAAGAATGTTACTTGCTTTAGCTTCAATCCAAAAATAAGTGATTCACCACAAGAATATTGAAATAGCATTCCTAAATGGTGATTTAAATGAAGAGTATACATAAAACAACTTGGAGATTTTGTGGTTAGAGGACAACAAGAAAAATTGTGTCAACTTGTAAAGTCGTACTATATGGCTTAAAACAAGCTCCCAAGTATGGTATAAAAAATTTGACCAAGTAATACTTAGTTGCGGATTCAAGATACATGAGTCAAATAAGTGCATATACATGTATTCATATAGTAAAGGTGTTATAATATGATTTTATGTGGACGGCATGTTAATTTTTACTACTGACCAGAATAAGTCAAGAAAACCAAAAGTTTGTTGTTTAACAAGTTGAGATGAGAGACATGTGTGAACTTAATGTCATGATGGAAATAAGAATTAAGAGAGAACCAGATAAAATCATACTCACTCAATCTCACGATATTAAGAAAACTATTAAGAGATTGAATCATTTGGATTGTAAGCTGGTTTTGACTCCGATTCATTGTAACATACATTATGTAAAGAATGAAGTGAAGTCCATATCTCAAAATGAGTATGCACTGATAAACGGGTGCTTGATGTCTACAATGACATGTACTCACCCGAATATGGCTTACACAGTGGATGTAATTGTCACGTGTGTAGTGTCGTTTGAACATAATCTCATACTCACAGTTTTCAAAATAATTTAGATAAAAGTGAAAATTACTCTCACGTATTACAAGCTTGTGACCTTCGTATCCTTGTTCTGCAAGTAAAGTAATTAAAGAGTAACACTACATCATCTCCAGGCTCAAATAAGCTCTCAGTGTGCTATAGTTAGTGGATAGCACTTGGAAAAAATTAGTATATAACACATGTATGTACTTTTTTAGTGCATCCAACTAATAAGAAATAAATATTAGTGTTTTTTGGGTCCCATGTTCGTTTCTTTCTCTCCTCTAAAATTAACTCATTCTTCTCAATTGTATGCACAAACTGATGTTTGGTCGACTTGGAACATTTGGCCGCTTTTTTGAATTAGGGTTTTGCTCCTTTTTACATGCTTCTTCACTGTGGCTAAAATATGATAGTTGTTGTAGTATTTTGGAACATTTTCATGCTCAAAAAGCACTTCGTGTGTTTTTCCTTTTTGGCCAATCAACACTGACTTTGGCAGCTATTTCGTGAGATTCTTTTCCACACAAACACGTGCTACAGACGGTCGAGAAAGGTGAAGCATTGGCTGATCAACTTTTAGTGGCTTCCCAATTACATTTGCTATGGATAAAAATGAGTTTATTTTTTGAAGAAATCTATTGGAAAATTATGTAGAGACACCCATATAGGAGCAATTGGTGGTTCTTCCTCATGTTGAAGCCCGGTTGCCATTTTAACACTCTCATGGAGAAGCCCCCAATGTCCCACTATCTTCTCATCCAACAATTTTGATAATCCTCCTCTAACTCGAATCACAGAAAAACATATCGATCGTTGAGGAAACCAATTTCATACGATCCATTGAAACCAATGGTCTTGAACTCCATACGCATGTCCATCATTTGTGGACGACCAAAGGAGAATTTTCCAACTAGTGAAAATTTCATATCTGAATCAAATTCTTCATCACTATACCATATCACCGGTTTTTCTTTTAGGAATTGAACTTGTTTTATGTCGGGTTTATTTGAAGGAAGATATGGCTTTGTAAATAAAATTGCATACGCCAGTGAATCCCCCGGAGGGTTGTCCTCCGACTTGAAATTTTCCATGGCGCTCGAAATTGTAAAAGGCAACTTTAGGACTTCTAGTAGAGAGAAGTGGGAGGACAATTTTAGGGAGAGAAAACGGTCATTAATTAATCACGCTGGGTCATGCGCGACTAGGCATTACTAGTACATATAGATAGAGAAAGTGAGCAGGAATCTAGTTGAAAATGTCAATAGAATAGCTAAACATGTAGTTGGGTCAGGAACTATGTAACTTCTCTATTTTCAGTTTTATAAATTATAGTGGTTCATTCAAAAAAAAAAAAAAAAGATATCGCCAAAACGTCATTAATTAATCAATCAAATAAAGCCATTAAAAAAAAAATTACTCGATAAGTCAAAGCCTAAATGAAACCAAGTATAGTAGACCTTAGAACTCAAGGATACAGAGGTACGACACTATAGAACAGATCTGTTCAACAGTTCAAGTAAGGTCATAGTACAGTAGACCTAGACCTCAGTAACCCATCATACTTATTGTTAATTTCTTTTGCTTTTGATAAGGGGTAGTAGATGTATCAAAGTCATTGCATGAATACCTAAACTATATTAAGTCATGTTTTAGACTTGAGCTGCATAAATAATACTTTAAAGCCCTCCTTTTGTTCGGTCAAGGCTCGAACCCACCAATCTCATTTTTCCAATTTCCATTTCCTAACCTTCTCAAACCTAAATTGTGAGCATTTATAAACAACGAAAACTTAGAGAGTGAAACAAGTTTATTTCTTCAAGTTTATACCTAGACAACTACAAGTTTCTAGAACCACGTTGCTTTATCAGACTAAAGCGTAGCTTTCTTTTAAACGACTCAAGCTATTGAACCAGATTATTCACAAACCAAGTAAAAGCAATAACAGTTACTTACGTGCAGCTTATGGTCTCATTACGACAATAGATTATTCACAAAACAAAAACTCAAGCTAATATGTTTTCATTTCAGTTTTGTTGGTTTCATAGTAGATTACTAATTACTTAATTTATTTATTTATTTTTCTCCCCCAATATTTGGGCAAAAGCAAATTAGGTCTTACATAATCCATTGTGTTATATACTTTCACTATCTTTAAATCTAATTCAGGTTGTTTAGACGTCAAGTTGCAGTTATTTAAGCCCGTCAAAATTGTTGGGATATCACAGTATATATTTGTGAAATACAAATATATGTAATCCAAATATAGGAAATTTGGAGTATAAACAAAAACTTAAAAATATACGGAGACAAATTAAGTTCATTATTAGTAATAATATATTTACCAAGCAATATTTATATTCACCAACTAAAGTAGGAGCTTTGTTACATTATATTTGTTCCTAGCTAGCTAGGAAAGACCATCTGATCATAAACCACGCAATCCTTACTCTTAGAAACTTAATTTACTCACAATTATTTAGAGCCCTACTTTGTGGTGTTTCTTCTAGTATAAGAAGATTATGCCATGGACCAGGTGATTGGAACACGTCCAAGGTCTTCATTGAGGCCTAATGCTTTCCACACAGCATGGGAACCATCAACGATGTTATTGTCGCAGGCGTTTTGATAGGCATGCTCGGCGTCGCAACCATGCCTCGAGTCACACTCGTCCACCACCTTCGCCGTCGTGCTTCTTCCGTTACTAACCCTGATTCTGATCATCCTCCAGCACCTCGACCCGCCGTCGTACCACCCAGTGGAAAGCGCAACCACTCTTTCATTGTTATCGTGGTAGCTGTTATCACATTCCGAAGGGCCGCCGCCATCCCCGCCGGCGCTGAAGTCATTGAGAGTTAGTATAGCTGACGTGGACCAGGTGACCGGCGGCGAGCACGTGTACGTCGGCTTCGTTTCACCTGCACACGTGAGATATCCCGACGGGCGACACGCGCGGCCGCAAATATGGGTTCCCACGTCTGGGTCGTCTTTGCATTTGCCGTTAATGCAGATCAGTTGGCCGTCGCAGTCGTTCAAGTCTCTGCATGATCCACCGCAGGGAGCGGCAGTTCCTAGGGATGGAAGGGAAACAATGAGAAGCGAAAACAAGATGAAAATTGACATGGTCAAGACTAAATGGGAAAGTTGATTGATTATATTGTTTTGTTTAAGATGCATATATGGATCGCAACTGCATGTATTTATAGGGGGTGTGTTGAGATGGAGGACTATTAAGGCGGCTAATTGAAAATATCAGTCCACTTGCGATACATTTTTTTTCCGTTTTATACTCCCTCCGTCACATAATTATTGTCCAGTTTATATTTTTATTTATAGCTCAAATTGTACTAAAAGTGAAATATCAAACTAGACAATAATCTTAAGACAGAGGAGTATAAAATTATAAATACAAATATACATCCATGCTTAATACAAATGTTTCAAAATTTTACATTTTTAACAACAGGTTTTGTGTAGTTAATAGGTAAAATATGATACTCCTTTCGTTACATAACAATATTAGTTTACAATGAATTTGTGAACTGTATATTTTTTTAATAATATGTATTTGACTATATGGACTATTTTTGTGGAATAGAAAGAATAGTATAAGTTAAAGAAAATTAAAACTGATGAATTTTTTTGGTAACGTTGGGAAACTCATACCAGAAACCAAAAAATCTATGGCTACTGCAATAGATTGAAAACTATAATATTGAGATATAAAGTATTCCAAGTGTGGAATTAGGGGGTTCATTTATGGATTTGTCGGAACAAAACTTTCAGAAATGCATGTGGCAAAGGTCTGCCAATCCCACTCATTCATGTTAAGAGTGAAAAGTTGAACTTAAGACATTAAGAGCAAAAGTAGGAATTACCACTAAATGTGATTCGATTTCACAACGCATCACAACAAAATCACAAGTAGTCTAAGGCTTGGTTGCGGAGATGGGACATTCATGAAGAAGACTTGCTTTTATTGGCTCATTTTTTCAGTGTACTTTACTGTTGTAAATATATATATATATATATATAAAAGTATTTAAGAAAGTAAATATATTGATTGAAAATTACAAAATAGTGTATTTTAATGATAATGAAATTTGTAGTGCCTGAACCATTTGCGATGGTGTGGTAGACGTAGACCTAATCAGTAGTCTCCAGTGGACGACTTGAGGTAATGATCAATGGACAAGACTTCTTATAGTGTAGAAATTCCTCTAACTTGCTTAACGGGAAATTGTGGCAAATGTGTTCACTGTTCAACATGAGTGTTCTTCTAAGTTATAACTATTGTAGGAATATATGACTCATCAATTTCTAAGATGACTTGCCATTGTCTTATATCATGAAAGCCGTTCCATAATACTCCATCCTTCCTTTTTTAAAAAAAAATAATAATAATGCACATTGCATTTTCAGATTTATATTTGTCTTGAAAGTACAAATCTCAAAATATAATATAGGCCCCGTTTAGTATAAATCTCAAAACTCAAATATATATTTTTATTTTTATTTTTGGTCAGAGGGGTTAAATTTTTATTATGAAATGGAACTTTGTAGAAACATTTATTAGGAAGATAGGTAAAAAGGGTACACTAGGAATACACCCAAAATCCTCAAAACTTGGTACTGGCTTCAGCTATTTTCTAAACCTAAATACATTTTTGGTAATCTAACCTCATCTGTACATCCCACTAACATGCCATGAAAGTTGGGAAACAACTATAAGAACAATCAAGAGAAGCAATCTCAACTTGAGTCTGGAATTCAGGTACCCTGTTGCCGAAATTCAGTAACTGCAGTTCACTTTTGTATCTTGACTGAAAGTATAAAATCCTTTCCAAGAGCCACGTGATTGGTTAAGATCTTAACAGATTCATGTCCACTGCACTCGTATGTTTAAACACGCATCAATGATCTCTGTAGTTGAAATTCAAGCCTTTTGAAATGTTCGGGATGAAACTCCATGAAGAAGTCTCACAAATCCCAAGAAACTGAGTTTTCCATCAGCGTGCCGTATCCAGTCCTGCAGTACTACATGCACTGGAACCGAAGGACTCAACCCAAGCTCCTGTAACAATATTTTAGATGCAGCTATAAGCATTTCACTTTTTGCAAAAAAGATTCATGTGCTGTGAAAAGGTAGAAACCTAGAGCTACAACCATGGATCATATCTTGTAATGTACATTTGCCATCTTAACCCCCTAACTAGTGCAGCAAGAATACAAACAAGCTGGTGAAATGAACCAATCAAGCAAGATTTCGACGTGGAGGAAGATTCCATTGTCAGCATTCAAACTATAAGACACCTAAACAATACTCAGACTGGAATATCACTCTTTATAATGTTTGAAGGATACAAGTAAAAAATCAAACAAATGACTCATTCATCTAACATCAGAAATAAACTAATTCTTTTGATTGTTGATCTTTTCATTAAAACACTATATGCAAGGAAGTGTAGGAAGTCAAATTCCTTATATGCGTAGCTGATCTCGGTAGCCTTCATCATCAAGTCAGGATCATCTTAGAAGTCATTAAAATTCTAAGACTTATCAGTTATCATGCACATCTAAAATTCTTCAGAACAGTCCGAACTTGTAGCTGTAGTGGCATCCTATACCTTTGTTAATGTGCCAGTGCACCCTCAAGAATATCATACAAACAGACTCACACTCACTCTCTATCTCTGACACACAAATATTACACATAGAAAGACTTACGGATGCTAGTTCCTCTATCATGATTGGTCTGTTGCCATCCTTCTCAAAAAGTTCATAGGCACGACGAGCATGTTGCTCCCAGCTTTCCATCCCTTCAAGTTGGAGCACACTAATCGCAGCTGCACAGAACTCTTCGAAGTCCAATTTCCGATACTGAAGAGAACTCACCTACACATTACAAGTGCGTTGAATTACTTAATATATGATGAACTATCAAAACAATAACAAAGGACATATAGCGACAAAAATTAAGGGAAAAGGGGGAAAAGTGTAGAGTTTTACCATGTTAACATATTCCAGAACCCTTGAATCCTTCATTGCATCTGTACCGATCCTTGCAACAACCTTCACATTCCAAATAAAAGGAAAATTTTCCATCAAGATTACTTCTACTGGAATATATTCTCAACAGTCAAGAGAACAGTTTTCGAATTAGAGAAGCCACAAAAGAGAATCAGCTTTTGTGTGTGTACAGGTGGGAAAAGGACTGAGACGGAGAGGGAAAAGACTCACCGATTTAGAGTTTTGCAGGGACACATAACCACTTTTGTTTGGGCCTAACATAGTGAATTGCTCCCGGAGATATGTTAATTGCGGTATTGTCAGAGTTTTCGCGACAGCCTGTGTAGGCAAATTTGCATTAGACTACATTGTTTTACTTAATAACAATTAAAAGTCTGCTTTGAAAAATAAAGATTTTTTTTTTATCCCACTATATTGGAGACATGTAGGATATGTTCAACCAAGCAGTAATTTCAACTGAAAAACATTATTGCCTAAAGAGCTTTTCCTTAACAAATTAAAAAAAAAAAAAATAGAAAATAAAAGAGAACTCTTCCTTCAAAATCAAGGGGGAGGAAAAAGGGAAAAAATAAAAAAGAACTCTTACTTCAAACGAACACATATAAAGGAATATAGTGTATGCCGAGGAATGGGAAAAATTAGTAAATGTCTAAATGCAAAAATATCTGACTAAAGAAAAATTTAAGCTAAAAGAAAGAATAGCTTACCCTTAAAGCTGCTTTTCTGAGGGAAGAAGAGCTGATATAGGCCTTTATATTCTTGAATATTATCATGTCAAGAGGTATCTTGAGATCATGGCATCCAGCAAGCCAAGGATGACCTAGAGATGTAGAATACAAGAATCAGTTTGCTATCCATTATGATATTTTTCCAAGGTTAAGAAAGGCCCAAGCAACGCTCTACTATATGATGCATGTACTCATCTATTCCAGAACAAAGCTTTCACGCATCATTTTTCAACTTCCCCCCTTTTTATCAAATACAATGCCAGAGGACATGTTTCAGTGAGAGCTAGGTATGATTCAAAGATGAATTAAGGTTGGTCCTGATTTAATATTATTAGTTTAATCTAAGGTGCGGTATTTGTACAGGATTGTCCAAGTTACTTAGCTGAAGAGACTTACTTAGGGCCTGAGCAGCTGTCAGCCTTTTCCTGTAGTCTTTATTCAACAATCTCTTGACGAAGTCTACTGCATCAGCAGACAACGAGGGCCATGGGGCTTCATCAAAGTTAGGATCAGCCTTAAGAACAGCTCTGAAGATACCTGACTCCGTTCGAGCCCAAAACGGTCTACTTCCACATAGAAGAATATAAGCAATCACACCTATACTCCACATGTCAGCTTCAGTTCCATATGATCTGTGTAAAACTTCAGGTGCCACATAGTAAGCACTTCCAACAATGTCATTCAGTCTTTCATCTGCCAAAGTCCGACCATCAAAATCTAATTCATAGATACATAACGGGAAAAATAAATAAATCCACCATACCGTGCTTTACCTGGTTTTACATAATCTGATAGACCAAAGTCAATTGCCTTCAGAGGTGAATGTTCATCTTTTGAGTTGAAAAGAAAATTCTGAGGTCAAAATAAGACTCGGTCAGACTTATCGAACGAGATATTCAGTAAGATGTAGATATCAGAGGGAAGACAGTATATTTGCTACTACTGTGCAACAACTTTTACTGATCTAAGTGGACCAAAGTTGATGAATTTAGCTCTAGCCATAACTCAATTAAAATAATTAGCTTGACAATGCAAAGGAACTATTAGATAAATTAGATCACACACCATTATATGTTCAACTCCAGTTAATAAAGTAACAGTACAACAAGATAATACAGGTGAGATGAAAAGGTATCTCAGGATTTTCAAGATAGGCAAATGTTCTACTAGTTTCGCTGGAACATAATTTTAGAAAATCTCCACGCCAAATCTTTGCGCTAGAAACACTTCGGGGTACAAGTTTACACACAGGTGTACAAGAATAAGTATCAGATAATAGTAATTGCGTCTCCTAGACATAGGATACATGCATATAACCACATCACAAAGCAACCAAAATGTATAGAAAGAATGCAGAGAAATAATCTCTCAAATGTCAGACTGCTTTCAGAGTTAAAGGAAAAGTCAAAACTTGGAAAAAGAATCACATTTCTTGGCAACTCAATCATGAAAAATAACCAAAAAGCGGCAGTTGACAAGCATGTGACGGGTTCAATAGAGGTAATAATAATAAAAGAACGAGGCAAATACGTCCTCAGCTATACAGATTACTAAATCAACATAGATGAAAGTAAATCCAAACATGATTCTTATTTATTTTGGTGAGAAGATTGCGTAAAACATCAAACTGTAAGCAGCGATCTGGATTTTATCACCTCAGGTTTTAGGTCACGGTGGACAACACCTTGGAGATGACAGTAGGCAACAACACTTAAAATTTGCACCATGACAACTTTAGCATCATCTTCTGAGTATTTACCACCCCTTCAGTTGAAATGGGAAATTAGCAAATCAAGTTATGACCAAAAAGGACAAAGCAATCAAGATAAAATATTGAAACTAATATTTTGTACCTGGAAAGGATCCTGTCCAACAGTTCTCCTCCTTTACATAATCTGAACCAGGGAAACGGAAAAAGATTGACATGAGAAGGCAATCAGTTCTTAAGACACATTGTTTAATTAAATTTAACGAAATTCATCATGACTTCAACTAGACCTTTCTATTTTACAAATGAACATTTTGTTTCAACTGATACCATTGATTAATAGCACATTGTTTGCAATTTAAATGGTACTTAAACTACATCCGTTTTTCCAGGTGTTTGTCACGTCAAGATGGAAGTAGTTCACTGTCTTACATTGAATAGAGAAGCTTACATATACAGGGAAAATATGTACCATGATGGGATTGTACAGGAAAAGAAAAGAAAAAAAAAAAGATTGAATAAATTATAAAATCATCATCATGAAATATAATGTCCAGTAGTTCAACAGCAAGAAGACCAAACAAACAGATGAGCAACAAAAGCAAAGTAGAAGAGCACTCAAAATTCAAAGGTATTTTGAATCACATTAGGATCATAATTCATAGGTATTTTGAATCACACTTCTGGTTGTGAATAAAAGAACTAACACAAAGTAAATCAGACGATTCTTCATTTCTAAGGCAGCATTGGCTGTTGTGCTGAAAAGTAAGGTCACAATTTACCATTGTCTATATCTCTACATGGTGTAATTAGTCTTAAGAGGTTCTTAAACAATGATAACAAAATAAATTTACCACATTTTAACCAAAAAAAAATGATAACAAAATAAACTATTCTGACAATGAGTAAGAAAAGCAAATGATTAGACATTGGGAATCATTTGATCAACTTACTCCATTACAATATAAACATTGTCTTCATCCTCATAGGAGTCATAGAATTGCACTAGGTTCTTATGCCCAGTTAGAGCACGCAACATTTTCACCTCTCTTCTCACATCCTCAATTGCAATTGCAGTAGTCATCTGCAGGGCACACCAAAAATTGGATTAAGAGAAGAAAACACTGTTGGAGTCACTACGTGGATGAGAGAGCTCAAAGCAGCAAAGAAAAGAGACACTCAAATTGATGGGAAAACTTTTTGGTCATTCATTTTAATTAAAGAAAAGACACTTGTTACTGTCACACACACGAGCCCGGATGGATGGCAAAATCGAACTTCCATGTAACTGAAGCATTTTCAACCCAGAATAACTATTCATATCTCTACCACATCTATAGCTGAATAATCAATCACCATCAATTATCATAAATAGAAAGGATGGTCAAGCAGCTGAACGAACAAAATAATCAGATAAGTGGATGATCCAGGCAGTATCTACTTCCTGAGTCTGCAATCTTAAAATCCAAAAGCACAAGGATCATTTTCACTGCAACATTTAGTACAGATTCAAGTAGAACTTCTCAAGTCCCAACCCACCCAAAGTCTACAAGTAAGATGAAATAAACAACAGGAAGATAGTAGAACAAGGTGGCAATTCTTAAATAACTTCTGTTGCAGAAAAAAAAACAACAAAATGAACCTTTGATTTTGGTATAACTTTAACAGCCACATCCTGCCCCTTCAAGCTTCCTTTCTTGCCGGTAGCAGAACATGTATATCCAAAATGTCCACGCCCCACTTCTTCTTCAAGCTCAAAGTGGTTCACAAAACTCTTTGAATACCCAAAGCTTTTATCCAACGCAATATCACACTCGCTTCCCTCGGGAATGGTTGCTTCATTAGGCTTGACAGAACCATGCCGTCTAGCTAGCAGTGCCCTGATATGCTTAGCCGGTGATGGTGGAGGAAATGGGCGTTTGAATAACCTCAAAGGTGTTGAACTAACGCTGGAGTTTGCCGGTGAATTCTTGAAAGCACTAGGCAACGGACTTGGGCTGTAGAAAAAGGGAAATTTCGGTGTTTTCCCTGAATGAATACTACTCAAAGGAGCTGGCTCATCATCGGCAGAGCCAGGGCCAATTGGATTTTCTGTTATACTCTTTGGGTGTTGACTTGGTTTCCCATGACAAAGTCCCATGGAATCAGAAACCCAATTCCCGGAAATTCCACCAGAAAAAATCCAAATTCAGAAAGGGTGAAAAAAAATTCAACAGAATTTCGAACTTTGTCGTACAAAACACAGAGGATTCGTTCAACCCAATTAGACCATTGAAAGCAGTAAATGAATTCCCAAAATAACTTGCAGAACTCAGTATGGTAAACTATCAGTTAAGTGCTAAAAATTAAGGGTCAGAAAGATATGATCTTCGTAATGAAGCCCAGAAAAAGGATCAAAATCATGGCTCCCAGAAAAATTCCAGGAGAAGGGAAAGAGACAAAAGTTCAAGAATTGGCAAAAGAATTGAAAATTTTTAAAAACAAAGGAAAGGGATAGAACTTTCTATAGAAATGATCAAACGCTGATAGACAGCAAGAATCAGAGAATTTAACAAGCTGAAGTAATGGGATGATGAAATAGAGAGGAAGAAGGGAATCCCACAAAGCAAAGAGAAACCCAGAAGGATGGGATGAAATTTTCCAACGAGAAGGTAAAGAATGAGACCTAAAAAAAACAATTAAAACAAAAGGATCAAAAAAGTAGGAAAAAGATGCTTAGCAGAGGCAGCAAGAAAAGAGTAGTGAAGAGGAAAAAGGAAAGCAACTGAGACCCTCTTTTCTTACTCTGCTTTTCCTAGCTTTTCTTTCTTTTTCTTTTTTATTTTGTCATTATTATTTTTCTTTCATTCTTCTTTTTTATTATTATTATTATTTTTAAGGTTTTGGAGGGAACGAAGGAGAGGGAAATGTGGAAATAGAGTGAAATGAGGATGGTAATTTCTGATACTCCTTCCGTCTTAAAATTTTTGTCGAGTTTGGATTTTTACACTCAATTCAATTTGTATTAAACAAGATTTTAAACTAAATAATAATTTTGGGACGGAGTGAGTACATATTACGTCTACAATTATCATTTTGTGTTGTGGAATTATTAATGTAGATAACCGTGAAGCAAATATTAACAATCTAATTTTATTATGACAGATAACATAAATTGCTATACTGCTGTATGTGCCCAATATTTGATTTTTTTTCATTGAAATAGTAACAAGAAACAATTATTAGTATAAAAATATGAATCAATGTCTCAATTGTTTGGAGAGAGGGGAAGTGGTTCATGGTTGTTGGTTCATTAGTTTCAATATTTCTTTTATCCTCTTTTTGTGGTTTTGTGAGAAAAGAAAATCATTAATTTAAGAGTCATTAATTGGGAATAATGAGTGTGGGCTTTTGGGGTACTTCCAGCCTGTCCTTATTGAGATATGAGAAGATGGATTGAGTTTTTCATGTGTAATGCGTTTGGTTTATATTATATACAACCCAAGCTTACAATTTTCTATGTATTTTGAGCTTTGACTAGCTTTTTGTGTTTTCTTTGTTCTAACTTTGAAAGCTTTTGAACAAATATTTTTTCCTTTGTCCCACTTAATGTTTATTGTAAAAGAAAACTTTAGACACTAATGAATTAAAATGGTGAATTTGGTGATTTTTATTTGCATTGTGATTTTGACCTATAAGCTAATTTAATTAGTAGCAAGTTCTTTTTGAATTTGCAAGCTTTTTAGGGTTTTGTTTTCTTGTGTAAAGCTTTAATCAGTCACCAATGCATCAAAAGAAAATAAAAGAAGGTATTGGGATCCATTTTTGTCATTACTTTCAACTTTCCTTTCTCTTTCTTTGTTTAACAAATTAATCTCAAATTTAAACTCAAAGAAGCTTTTAGTGAGAAGGCAAATATTATTTAGTTTAAAAAACAAAAGGTTCTATTTCATTTTCCTTTTTCTTTTTCGTTTTAATGATTTATAGTGGATAAAAAAATAAAAAAAAAAGCTAATAACTTGATTCAATGATCATTAGTAAGCCATTGTAATGTTGATTATTTGGGTTTCAAAAGTTTTTTAGACTTCTGAAATTTTAATGACGTGATTGGAATACGAAATAATGGTGTCTCTTCTTCACAGAATACTGCAAATCAGCATTTAAGTATTGAAGAAAAAAAAACCAACAAAGAAAATGAAAGGCGAATTTTAGTTGATTTTAACCAAAAACCATTTCTGTAATTTGTGAAATGAAGAGAGATTCGCTAATTTTGTACTATAACAGATTAAATTAATTATTCTACTCAATATTCAAATAAAATTTACTACTACTTCGTTCCTAAAAAAACAATTTACATTAAATTTTGAATTATTTTTATTAATGGGACATATGTAATATTATTTGAACTAAAACATAGATTTAAAATTCCTAGAACCACGTGTTTAACAAATTCTATTTGCCTCGAGAAACACTCAATAATATGTATGCAGAAAAAGAAAAAAGGCTCATTAATCATGTTTGCGCGGGTAAATAAATATTTAAAAATCATGAAATATTAACTGTAAATATTGCGCAAAATCAAAGTTAACATAGTACAAGTGAAGGAGCGGATAAAAATCTACTCTTTCTCGGTCGGAAATGATTTTCTTGAATTTTTTAATTTTAAAGTGATAATTATTTCCTTGAGACTAAATAAGCTAAACATTAAATTATTTTCTGAAGAAGAGACTCCAGAAAGTACATATATTTGATGAAACTTCCTTCATTACATTAGGTGCAGCTACTTTGTTCACCCATAATGCATTCAATGTGATAACCTCCATTTTAACCCAAAAAAAGAAAAAAAAAACCTCCATCTTTTTTAGGGTGATCAAACATTAATTTTAAACCAATTTCAGAAATAGTTTAACGGAAACATTATACTCCGTTCAGTCTTAAATTTTAATGCACAAATTTAAAATAAAAATTTTCTTTAGTGCTTAAAAATATTACTAGGTGTCTGGAGCCTGCAGCTCAGATAATGGATTAATCATTGTTGACACGGTAAATACCTTCTAAAAATGAAAAATTAAAAACAGAACATATATGGAGATAGTAATATTTAAGCGGTGTTTAAACAAATGACTTCGCGTTTACAGACATTATTTTTACTAATTTTAACATTCTTTATCCCTGCCACACTACAATAAAAATGGGCTACTAATACCTTTATAGTGGGACAATTTTCTTAAAATGTGTCTCATTATATGTGTATTAGGACATTTCCTAAAAAGTGTCTTATTAAAAATGAAAAAGTGTATGTATATTATGAAACACTATCATAACTGTACTATGTGGGGTTGCTTGTGAACTATCACCCTACTTAATGGGTCACTTTAAAGTGTCTTAATAAGTGACAATCTAATAATACAATTTCAAATGTTTTATGACTTACTGTGACTCGATTATAGGAGACACTATTTTGTAGTGTCCCACGCAATGTGAATCACATGTATCCTATTACACCACTTATTGAGACACAAAAAAGTGTTTAAATTACTCATTTTTGTTATAGTGTCAGGTACCGCCCAAAAAGACATTTATAATAATAAGGGTAAAGGTAATCCTTTCATACATTTTTCTTTTTTTTTTTCCTTTCATAACATTAGTTGAGTAGTAAGTTTAATTTCTGTATTAACCATCACAAAACTGTACTGCTAATATAATAGTTTTGCTAGACAAAGATCTTCTTTTGAACAATGACTACATGACATAATGGTAACTGCATCGATCAGCATGCAAAGACCGATAAAAGAGTCGTTTACCTATTTAATTAAAGTTGGCCAACTACAAAATATATGTGTCTGAATTTCTTGATGAAAAAATATGACTCCCATAATATAGCAATCTTATTCTTATGTAACCAGTTTGACAATCTATGTATCTCATCACATATTCTCCTCTTCTTAACAATAGTAGAAAAAACAAAATATCTTTTCGGTTGCCTTAAAAAAACCTACCAGTATATGTTTCACTTACGTACACGATGATGTGTTTTATGCATCAATATAAAAAAAATATAAATAAATAGTAATCAAAATTAACCTAATAATTGTAAATATACGAAGAACAATAACTCTACCTATTTCGTCGATCAAAAGTCAAAACAAGCCTTCTACCCATATTATTACCATCTTTATTATTAAAAAATTACAAAAAAAGAAGGTTTAAATTTATTAATCAGGCGCTCCTGCATGTCATCGATAGAAAATTTTTAAATGAAAGTGTTAAAACAAAAGAGAAAGTGTTTAAATTTATATCAATCAGCCATCCGAAAACTACTTTTTCTAATCAAATACTTATTCTCTCAAATATAAATTAATACTTCCTCCGTCCCACAAAAATAATCCACGTTGAGTTTTGAGTTTTTGTATTGTTTTTAGTATAAATTTAAAAACTCAATGTGGACTTTTTTTGGGACGGAGATAGTTCATTAATTTACTAAAATTCTTTCATTTATATAAACAAGAATCTGAAGCGTAGAGAGGAGACATATTGCACAACATAGCTTGCTTGAGAATAATACTATATAATTCCTCCAATATTAATCATAAGAGACAAGTTTAAATTAATTTTAATATAAATTTTAAGTTTATAATTAGAACCAGATGAAATACTGGCTATAGAATAAACCCTAACACAGATCCATCAAGCGCCAAATTGTGATGTATAAATGCGATTAAATTGGCTGTCTCCTCACTAATTGCCGACAGCCAGAAGGTGTTGGAATGTTTGGATTTATAAATGGACCTGAAAGTGACATCTATTCTGACACATTTTGACACTTCAGTACTTCAGTTTTCTTCTGTCTGATTATTAGAACATAGACTTACTTCCTCCATTTCAATTTGTAAGTCTTTTTAGATTTGGAGAGATTTTTCAAAATGTAAGTCATTTTATAAATTTTAAGCAAATTATTGACTATTTTTTCAACTTTATCCTCAATAAATGATGCCAATCTATTTTTATTTAGTCTTGTTTATAGTTTTAATGTAATTAATTAAGGGTAAAATAAATATTTAATATATAAATTAATTGTTAGATAATTGTCTCATTAATTTATGTGCAAAGACTAAAGTGACCTATATTTTAAAATGAAGGGAGTAGTATTTTAAAAACATAAGTATATATGAAAAGGATGGGTTTATGGGAGATAAACTAATTAATGAGCGGGGGAATGCGTGTGCTCTTGGTCCAAAAAAAATAATAATGCGTATTACTGTCATCCAAAATAAGATTTTTTATTTTATTTTTGGTTGACCTTTGTGTTGGGAAGTATAGACTGCCATGTACTCCCTTTAGTCTTTATTATACACGGTATTTTAACTTTTTTAAAATTTTATTTATCGTATTTTTCTAATTAAAAATAAAATTTTAAAAGTAATTTATCATAATTGAGAGAACAAAAAAAATGTAAAAATATATTTTAAAAATTTTATTTTTATTTGAAAAATATAATAAATAAAACTTAAGAAAAATAAAAATGAGTTAAAATAGAGACATGAGGGAATATTACCATCGTTTCTTCTCTATTATAATTAATCATGTTTTGTGACATAATAAATAAAATAAATTGCTAAATACAGTTTAATTTTACTTCGTACAACTTGTAAAATTAACTAAAATGTCCCTGAACTCTAAACCTTCCCTAATTCTGTTATACGATCATTTCTTTTTACAACTTCACATTCATTGTTTCATTATATAATAAAAAATTCACTGATCATTGATGGTTTGCAATGGTGGTGAACCAAAAAACACGCGAAAGTAGAGAGTGAGGTAATTTTCAAATAAAT